CAGACCAAGAGAGACGGCCTCTTGTTTGGAATACAGATATCCTTGCTAATGAGGAAACTCGGCAGGGAGGAGGACACTCCAAATAAGATAAACGCGGCAGATGGAGGGCCAGATCCTGCACAGAGATCTTGAATATTCTACAGGATGCTCGGCCCAAACAGAGTTTTCTCTCTTAGTTTTTCAGTAATGATAGATGACAAAGCCTGGGGTAAAAATAAACCCATTTCCAGTGTTGTTTCTGGGTGGTTCAACAGGAAAGAGCATTGTTAACCTTGAGGGGACCGCCGAGCTGTCTGAGATTTGGAAGCCTGGGCGTCTCCTGGGAGGAGGGTGATGGGGAAGGAGGGGCGCTCCAGGGCTATTCAGGCCCAAGTTCCTTACTTGGCCCCCTTCTTAGTTCCTGTCTAAATTCAATTAGAAGAAAGCCTCTTCTTCTGGCTGGTAATTTAAATATCTTTCCTCAATATGTCAGTTTTAGACATTTTGTCACGGGTGTAGTTAATGCCCCAATAATCCCACAGTCTGGTTTATGTCCATCTGGGGTATAAATGCCACGGCTGCCTCTGTCTGTGAGCTCTGGAAAAGCCATTGGACCAGGAATGCTGAGAAGCACTTAAATGATTTTTTTCCCCATAACTTTCAGGTGAATATTTCCCCCTCACGTTTCCTCTGTTTTTAGAAACACTTTGGAGAAATAGAACAATGAAGGCCTCCAGGGACACTCTGTCACCTCGAAGGAGCATATCCTTTTTAAAAAATTAAGTGACAAGTCATTTGCTTTTGTAAAAAATATTGGTCTCCACTTGTAGGTCTATGGTTTAGACAAAAATACTCATATGTTGCTGTTTACAAAATTTTTAAAGTTTTGATTTCGAAGAGTTAATGCCCACAATGCCAAGATGCTCTTAGGGAATAAGGTATTGGCAGGATCTGGCTAATGAGGTTTCCTGCAGCTAGAAAACCCCTGCTGGAGACAAGAATCCAAGACATTCCAAGACTACTGACATCGAATATAAAATTCAACCATCTAGTGGAAGTCTTGTGGGTGGATGTGTTTTGGGTAGGATATTTTTTTATTCTTAAACCATTCATTTTATAATCTGGGCAAAAAACAAAGAGCCAGATGTGACAGCTATTAAAAAGTAAAAGTGCATACTGTTAATACCTTATGTTTACCTACTGGCTTTCTTCTGAGAAGTCCAAAGGGCTTTGCTGGTGTTTTCTTCTCCGTACCCGTATGGTACCCTCATTTGGAGAAAGGACTGGAAAATGCCTGAAGTCAGGGAGTGGGTTAGACATCAGAGGAGACCTGGGTTCTTTCTTTTCGCACAACACCTTGCTCTGGTTTGTGCTCTGAATTCAGTGGGCCAATATCAGAACACAAGCTAGATGCCTTTCACACCAGTTGTGTTTTAAAAAGAAAACCCCACTCTTGCACCTACTCCGTTGTTTCTCTGTAGCCCTAAGGGAAAAGCCTGAACTTGCAAACAGCTGTCACCAGACCGACTGACAAACCTGATTACTTGTTGGCTTGTTTCCTGCATCAGGCTATTCGCAAAGTCATTTTTGCATGGAGTACCCACCCACTCACCAATAACAGCACTCTAGGGCTCTGTTGGACTGGAGCTAAGATTCTATTGGACTGGAGTTAAGATTGTATTGGACTAGAGCTAATAGTCTATCGGACTGGAATTAAGATTCAGTGATGCTCCTGACTGTTTCTGGGACTCAGGACTGCAGAGATGTCCCAAAAGGAGATTGCATTTTAGAGTCGGAGCTAATCAGTCCATCCTTGGCACATATGTAGGACCTCACCCCAGACCTCAAGATTCCTTTAAAGACTAGAAATTGAAATACATTACTAACATCAAAGGTAGGAATGTAGGAAGCAATACTGCAACCTCTGGAGTTGTTGGTTCGAATTCCTTCAAAGGTGTCCAGGGTTCCATCGTGCTTAAGGCTGGCGTTCCACCAGGGTCAGAAAAGCAGCCACAAGCCCATATACTATCTGTGGGTGACACAGCTGTTCCTGAACTGCAAGGTGGGGTGTGGCTATTTTCAACCCTGATTGTCACACTTGTTGAAGCACTTAAAATTTTTATTTTGGGGCCCAAAAGAAGGACAGTGAAGGCCTTTCACAAACAGATCCTTCAATTTCTTCCAGCCTATTCTGTGTTCCCATCTCTGCTCCCTGCATTCTAACCACCAGCACCTCCAGCACCATTTCCTGAACACACAGCCTACTGCAGTGCCTTTGGTGTGGTTATTAGCGCTGTTTTGCCAAATCACTACAGCTCTCCACCTTCTGGGTGCATGATAAGATTGCATTTCCAGGCCCCCTTGTGAGGTGAGGCTGTGTCATCAGTTCCGGCCAGAGTGGAAGTGATGTGTGTCACTTCCAGGACAGAGCAATCCACCAACTGCTGTGCAAACCTGGCTCGATTCCCCTCCGCCACAGGGACCAGCAAAGTTCAAGATGGCGGCTACTCTGCCAGCAGGTCCCGACCAATTGATGAATGTGAGAAACAAACCTTTGTGCCTATGCTGCTAAGATTTTGGGATTGTCACCAAGCTATTCTGATGGATATACCTTTCTTTGATCTTTGTTCCTTTACACATGCTTTTCCTTCTGCTTGAAATCTGCACGCACCCTCCCTTCCCTCCTTGGCAAATTCTTACTGATCCTCCAGACCCAGTTCAAAAGTCTTCCTTTCTGCGAAGTCTCTTCTGACACCTCCAGGAACTTTGGCCATTTCTGTTCTGTGCTTCCCCACCCCTCTCTGTGCAAACCTCCGTTATAGCCTCAATCACATTTTATTTTTACTACCTGTTTACATGTCTGTCTTTGTCTCTTAGACTTGGAACGTCTTGAGGGCAGGAACTGTGTGCTTCATTCGTTTTTCAATCCAAAGTGTCTACTACTTTTTTTTTTTTCAAAGTGTCTATTTCAAAGTACAAGCTCAACAAATATCTCACAGAGAAATTAAGCTGCTCAGAATGGTTGATGGACAGAGTTCAGGTCAGTTTACTGGTGTTACAATTCATCTTCCCAGTGCCCCCAGATGCACCAGAACTGGTAATTTACCAAACACTGGAAGACATTTCTTTTAAAAAAATTTTTATTGATGTATAGTTGATTTACTGTATTGTGTTAATTGCTGCTGTGCAGCAAAGTGATTCAGTTATACATGCATATATATTGTTTTCCATATTCTTTTTCATTGTGGTTTATCATAGGATATTGAATATTGTTCCCTGTGCCATACAGTAGGACCTTGTTTATCCATCCTGTATATAATAGTTTGCATCTGCTAATCCCAAACTCCCAATCCTTCCCTCTCCCATCCCCTCCCCCTTGGCAACCACAATTCTGTTATCTGTATGTGTGTCTGTTTCTGTTTCATAGATATGTTCATTTGTGTCGTATTTTAGATTCCACATATAAGTGATATCATATGGTATTTGTCTTTATCTTTCTGACTTCCTTCACTTAGTATGATAATCTCGAGTCCATCCATGTTGCTACAAATGGCATTATTTAATTCTTTGTTATGGCTGAGCAGTATTCCATTTTGTGTGTGTGTGTATACACATACGCCATGTCTTTTTTTAAATAAATTTATTTACTTATTTTTGGTTGCGTTGGGTCTTTGTTGCTGCGTGTGGGCTTTCTCTAGTTGCGGTGAGTGGGGGTTAATCTTTGTTGCGGTGTGCGGGCTTCTCATTGTGGTGGCTTCTCTTGTTGCAGATCATGGGCTCTAGGCGCACGAGCTTCAGTAGTTGTGGCATGCGGGCTCAGCAGTTGTGGCTCGCGGCACTCTAGAGCGCAGGCTCAGACTTGTGGCGCATGGGCTTAGTTGCTCCGCGGCATGTGGGATCTTCCCAGATCATGGCTTGAACCCGTATCTCCTGCATTGGCAGGCGGATTCTTTTTTTTTTGTTTTCTGAGAAACACGTACATTTACTGAATGGAAAACAAGCCTCTTCGTAGAGCCCAAAGCCTTGGCAGACGAATTCTTAACCACTGTGCCAACAGGGAAGTCCTATAAAATGTCTTCTTTATCTATTCATCTGTCGATGGACATTTAGTTTTTTTCCCTATCTTGGCTATTGTAAATAGTGCTGCAGTGAACACTGGGGTGCATGTATCTTTTCGAATTACAGTTTTGCCTGGATATATGCCCAGGAGTGGGATTGCTGGATCATATGGCAACTCAATTTTTAGTTTTTTGAAGAACCTCCATACTGTTTTTACAGTGGCTGCACAAATTTACATTCCCACCAACAGTGTAGGAGGGTTCTTTCTTCTCCACACCCTCTCCAGCATTTGTTATTTGTAGGCTTTTTAATGATGACCATTCTGACCTGTGTGAGGTGGTACCTCATTGTATTGATAGTTTTGATTTGCGTTTCTCTAACAAATAGCGATGATGAGCATGTTTTCCTGGGCATATTTGGAAGACATTTCTTAAGATTGATTCCTCTCCTTCTTCAACATTATTTGACTGTTACATTTTAAAAATGTTTGTGGTTCAAATTACTGAAAAGGAAGAAAGATCATCTTACAATTAGGCTCCCATCTTTTGATAATTACTCATCTTTACAGGAAAAGATTTTTAAAAAGATTTGGGGTTTTGGAGAAAATCAACTTTATGGGCAATTTTTGGAGGCCATTGTGGTTGGTTGTGTAGGCCTGGCTTTGTTAATATGAAACAGCATATTTATTGACTAAATGCCCTCAAATTTTGTAAATGCATTTATGTGTATCATCCAATGTACCTCCTTCAGTTGTTTGGAATATAACATTAAGTTTAAATATAAATTGATGAGATTCTACTTCAGTGTCTGTTGTAGATCCTGTTCTGGGTAGAAAATCAGGGGAGGTACCATTTTTGTTTAGGCCTGGTTCCCCATAGAAGAGGAAACATATTTACTACTTTCAGTGTTCTCAATTTTATTTTATTTTTTTTGGCTGTGCCACATGGCTTATGGGATCTTATTTCCCCGACCAGGGAATGAACCTGGGCCCCTGCAGTGAAAGTGCTGAGTCCTGACCACTGGACCACCAGGGAATTCCCTTTTTTTTTTTTTATTTCCTTGTTTTCAGTGTCCTCAATTTTATAAATGCACCTGTGCATATTGCCAAATGCACTTTGCTAAGTCAGGAATAGACTCCTAATTCTAACATGAACTGACAAGATTGTGTTGCAATGTCAGTTGTAGCAGAAACAAGATCCAGGTCTGGGAGAATGTTGGGAAAGGTCCCGCCCTTGTTTCAGGTCTAAGGTAGGAAGATAAAGGTTATGTCCACGAGGTAAAGATCCAGGAGGGTGTGTTCATGTAAAAGTCCCTTGAGGTTTGAAAAAAAAAGAAACTTAAAAAACAAAACAAGATACATTTCTGGATTGAGCAGTCATTTGATTATCCTATTTTGTTTTTGAATAACTATCATTCCCCTCTCTTTCTTTATGGAAAAGATGTTTACATGGTGGGGGAAATCTCTCACTTTTGCCTGCTCAACATCCATCCCTCCCCGCTCAGTCACAGCTTCTCAGTGTTTGTCTGATGCCTTTTATTTGAGTAACACTTTGACGGAGGGACTACAGTACCACAGTTAAGGGCAGGGCTCTGGAGCCAGGCTGCTTGGGTTTTATTCATTCATGCTGGGTGCCCTGGGGTGCGTTTCTTAACCTTTCCAAATCTTGGTCTTCTCCACTACAAAATAGGAATAGCGATGTGACCTACTTCATAGAATTGATGTGAGGATTAATGAATAAATATGGTAAAGCACTTGGAACAGGGTCTGATGCATTATATGAACTCAATAAGTATTATCTATTATTATGAAATTCTTACATAACAATTAATTTCTTCAGGGACTTTATAAACATATCCTCTATCATTGGATGTGGCTATGGAAGTCTATGAAAGGCTGATATTTATATTTCCCATTACATGTTACTCGATTTTTTTGTTTTTGTTTTTTTTGAGAAAACCAAAGGACTATTTCTTTGGAGGTAAGGAGTTTTACTAGGACATGTCTTGATATTGATCATCCATATATTTTCTGATGCCTGATGTGCCCCTTCAATCTGTAGATTAAGTTCTTCATTTCTGGAAAGTTTTCTTCTTCTTTTTTTTTTTTTTGGCCACACTGTGTGGCTTGTGGGATCTTAGTTCCCCAACCAGGGATTGAACCTGGGCCCCCCGCAGTGAAAGCTCTGAGTCCTAAGCACTGGACCACCAGGGAATTCCCTGGAAAGTTTTCTTGAATAACATCTTTAAATATTTTTTGTTCCATTATTTCAGTCTCTTCAGAAGGGATACCATTTATGAATATATTGAACTTCACGTTTCATATAATTTTCTAGGTAACCTTTACTCATTTCCATTTTACTTTCCCACTATTCTTGATTTGTTTTCTATATCCCTTAAAAAGTTTTTATAAATTTTCCTTGTGCCTTTTCCAATGTAGTCTTTATACCTATGGTGATTTCATTGTTTCCTGATTCTTTCCTGAGCTCTCCAGCTCATGTTTTAAGTCCTGTTGTTGTCTTGCCCTATCTTCCCTGAGCAAGTTCTTGTCTTATACAATTTTTCAAAATAAATTTTTATACTTTGAACACAAATTTTATCTATTCTATAGCAGATTTTTTTTTTTTGGCGGTACGCGGGCCTCTCACTGTTGTGGCCTCTCCCATCGCGGAGCACAGGCTCTGGACGCGCAGGCTCAGCGGCCATGGCTCATGGGCCCAGCCGCTCCGCGGCATGTGGGATCTTCCCGGACCAGAGCACAAACCCGTGTCCCCTGCATCGGCAGGAGGATTCTCAACCACTGCACCACCAGAGAAGCCCCAGATTTTTTTTCTTGTGTTGAATCTTCACTTCTATTGTTCTTCCTACTCCTTCACTCTCTCTCTTTAAATTGGAGAAATTTTGTAAAGATTTTGTGCATGTTCTACCTCGATTTTTCATGTAAACTAGATGAGTTCCTCTATGAAGAGCTATTTGTAAGAGGTTCATGGTAAGGAGTGAGACTTAGACATCTTCCAGGCTAGCTGGGATTTTCTTTGAATCATGCTCAGGTTCTTTATAACACAGGTTTTTGACTAAAGTCTCTTTTGTCTTTACCTCTTTGAATAGAGATCTGAAACAAAAGCACTGAGTCCCTCTTCTCGACCCTGCCTCCCTGCCAGGCTGCTTTTTTCTTGCAACGGTGGCAATTATGTGTGATTCCTCATTCAGCTTTGATTTTTCTAGGTGTCATTGTTGTGTACACAGTCAACAACTTACGCTGATCATCAGCACGTGGGCAGACCTCATTTTATTGTACTTCGCAGATACTGAGTTTTTAACAAATTGAAGGTTTGTGGCAACCCTGTGTCGAGCAAGTCTATTGGCATCATATTTTTTTAATGAAGGTCCGTACATTTCTTTTAGACATACGCTATTACACACTTAATAGGCTACAGGACAGTGTAAACGTAACTTTTACATGCAATGGGAAACCAAAAAACTTGTGAGACTCACTTTATTGCGATGGTCTGGAACCAAACCTGCAGTATCTCTGAGGTGTGCCTTGCTAGGAAATATGGCCTAGTAACTCTCTAGGAACTACATACACAACTACATACACACACACAATTTAAGATAACCAAACTTTCACAGTGTTTGTGAGAAGAGGCCTCTAGCATCAGAGTGTTGTCACACAATCCATTTGATGGAAAGGATGATGCCCAACTTTTTATTTTTTGGCTGTGCAGCGCGGCATTCAGGATCTTAGTTCCCCAACTAGGGATCCAACCCACACCCCCTGCAGTGGAAGTGCAGAGTCTTAACCACTGGACCGCCAGGGAAGTCCCGATGCTCATCTTCTAATAATGAAACATTTTTCCCTGCAATATTTCTGGCTGAGATTTAAATAAGTTTTTCGTGTGGAGTGTATCTACATGAAGTCACCTAATAAAACATTTTTCATTAATACATTTTTAGACCAAAGAGTTCTTAAGTTTTCAAAGAGTAATGATATTCTGGATAAGCTTTTCATCATATGAAAAAAACACACTAATTTACAAATCCTAAAATCATACCACTCTCCCTCCTACAACCTGAGTTTTATAGGCTCAGGGAGGTAAAGTGTCTTTAACACAAACTTAGCAACAGACTTGGGACCTGAGCCTAGTTTCCTGGATTTCTAGATTTCTAGTTCTTTCTACCACCCCAGCTTGCCTTCCTGGTTTATCACTTTAGGTACTAAAGGCTGAATAGAGGTAATTTAGAAATTTTCAATTATTATAATCTACGCATTTGTTTTAGATAGTATATATTTCCCCCACACCACCTGCCCAGCTCTGAACCTGGGCCACACAAACCTGACCTACTGGCAGGACTGTTGCCTGGAAGAGTTTGATGGGCATAAAATTAGTAAGTCTTTAATGATGGGTTATTAAACAACTTGTTCTTTGGGTTCTTTAATTAAAAAAATTAAAGGCTTTAAAGGAAATATAAACACTTGGGACCTAAACTTTAGTAATCTGGAATATCTGGCAGAGCTTTCTGGAGTGGAATTGTTAGGGAACAGACAGCTTTTGACCGATAGGTAACAACTGATTGACAATGGAGCTGGGGTGGGAAGACGAGTGCGGCAGCCACCACCGCTAGAAAAACACGGCAGCTGGAGGAAATGGTCTGTTACTGGAGAACAGTCCAAGCAAGAGTCCTCAAGCAAACAGAATTAAGCCCTTAACAGGCTACGGTTTAACCATTCTTCAAGAATGATGGTTTTGTCTTCTATTGCAGTTTCCAAGGTCAAGATCTCTTACTTTACATGGGGTCCAGTAAGGGAGGAATGACCGTGCTAAAGCCAGACTGAATTGTCTTTGACATTTCCACCTCCTTCTTTGGGTCATGGGATCCATTCTTTTGGGCTTGGCCTCTTCAACTCCTCATTAGTTTGAGTCTTTTCTCTAGGACCTAGTCCAGCTGAGGATAACTTGATAATGCTCTGAATGAACATCATTATGGAAAATTTGGAAGAGAAAGAAAACTCCCCGTTACAGTTCCAACCGTACAAAACTTCTTTACATCACCACTTCTTTATTTCCGGGGACAAAAGCTGAGCCTGAGAATTGTTACCATGAGCTCCGGTGTTCGATCCATAGGCAAGGAGCAAGGGTGAAATAGAGAGGAAAGAACGGGATAGGAAGAAGGAGTGGAAGGAAGGGAGAGGGGAAAAAAGATGAGCAGACGCATATGGCGGGCCTGGGAGTGTCCACTGGGGTCTTAGTCACACCTGGTTCCTACTCTTCATATAGCCTGACCTTTGACCCCAATAAACGATAGTACTTAAAAAAATTTTTTTTTATTGAAGTATAGTTGATTTACAATGCTGTGCAAATGTATTTCTTCTTGAAGTGGTGCTGTTTGCTTTTGGTGCCCCAACTTTGAGAGAGGTTCCCTAGTCATCCATCTTGGAAGTTGGGTTTGTCAATTTAGTCAGTTTCTAACAGCCAAATCCCCCATTTGCTCTCCTCAGCCTGGAGAGCCTTAAGCTAACAGCCCCTGAAAGGCGGAATCCAGCACGCAGATGTGGAGGAATGGGCAGGCCAGATTATCTTTCCACCTCCTTGGGGGTCAGGGAAAAAAGGTGGAGGGCGGCAGGGTGCAGTGTGGGGTGGGTACAGACGGCTTCCGGGAGAGCAGTCGGCCTGCATCCAGCCTGTCAGAACCAGGAGGAAGGTGGTGGCTAAGTTTCCTCTTCAGGGAGTAGAATATTTTTTTCCCCCTTTTACAGTGAAATTGGAACAGTCCTGGGAAAATGGGACAGGTGTCACCAATCAAGACACGGGGCTGTTTACCCAACTCAGCCGAGGGGCCCTTAGGGGGAGAGAGTCTTGATACGAAGAAAACTACAATTTTTCGAAACACGAGGTAGTCCCTGCAGGTTGGGAATGGGCGTCTGTACGTGGATCGCCCTCTGACAGGTGGACACGGGAGAGGGATGGGCAGTCAGAATGCACCTCCGAAATGGAAGGCCAGAGGGAACTCTGGTTGCGTTTCTCCAATCTGTTAG